TGTCGTTACATGGCATTCTCTCTGGTGTGTCCCTCCCATTTTATGACAACAGTCATATTGGATTAAGGACCCACCCTACTCTAGTATGACCTCATCTTAAGTGATTACATCTGCAATGACCTTACTTCCAAATGTCGCATTCTGAGGTACTGGGGATTACGATTCTGACATATCTTTGTGGGGTGGGGGGTGAGGGGGGGCGGCTAACATATCAATCCATAACAACTGGTCAACCAAAATGCCCATAGCCTCATGTTTTTATCCCGGTAATAGGTTACAAGTATGTTGAGCACAGCAAAGGAAATAATCAACAGAATGAAAAAGCAAACCATATGTCTGATAAGGAGTTAATCTCCAAAATATATAAGGAACTCCTACAACTCAGTAGCAAAAAAATAGCTAATAACCCAATTAAAAATGGGCTAAAAACTTGAATAGACATTTCTTCAAGGAAGACTTACAAATGGCCAACAGGCATATGAAAAATAATATCATTAATCATCAGGAAAATACAAATCAAAACCACAATGAGATATCACCTCAGACTTGTCAAAGTGGCTATTACAAAAAAAAAAAAAAGACCACACATATTGGAGAGGATGTGGAGAAATTGGAACCCACGCACATTGTTGGTGGGAATGCAAAATGATGCAGCCACTATGGAAAAGAATATGGTGGCTCCCCCCAAAAAAATGAAAAATAGAGCTTCCATATGATCTAGCAACCCCACTTCTGGGTATTTAGCCCCCCAAAAATTGAAGTCAGAAACTTAAAGAGATGTGAGCACTCCCATGTACACTGTAGCATTCACAATAGCCAAGATGTAAAAACAGCCTAAATGCCCCTTGACAAAAGAATGGATAAAGAAAATGTGGTGTATACATACAATGGAAATGTGGTGTATACATACAATGGAATATGATTCCGCCTTCAACAAGAAGTAAATTCTGCAATGTGTGACATGGATAAACCTTAAGGATGTTATGCTAAGTGAAATAAGCCAGACACAGAAGAACCAGTACTGCATGATTCCGCTTATATGAGGTCTCTAAAGTAGTCAAATTCATAGAATCAAAGAATGGAGTGGTGGTTACCAAGGGCTCAGAGGTATGTGGGGAATTACTAACTAAAGGGCATAAAATTGCAGTTGTACGAGATAAGCTCCAGAGATCTGTACAACATTGTACCTATAGTAAACAATGCTGTATTGCACACTTAAAATTGTAAGAGAGTAGATCTCACGTTGAGTGTTCTTATTACAATAAAACAAAATAAACAAAAACAAGTGTGTTGAGAATTCCCAAAAGTGGGAAGTATTAAAAGGAACCATAACGTAGGGGACAATTTTACCCACTTGAGGGCTTCCTCCCTGAGGAAGTAATGTTTTCAGTGAAGATAAAAAGATGAGTAAAAGTCAGCCAGGTAAGGTGGGGGGAAAAGCACGAACGCCCTCACCCTGAAGCCTAGACCAGAGCCCCTGTCCCTCTCAGCACTGGGCTTATGTGGAAACCAGGCCCAGAAATCCGGGGAAGGCTTGTAAGTGTCCCACAGGCTGCTAGCCAGGGCCAATCTGGCCCAGCCAGCTGGCTCCCCCTGGCCTGCAGTCCCTACCTCAGAAAGAGCCAATGGCACAGTTTGCAAGGAGGCCTGAGGCTCACAATTGCAGCCTCTATGCAGGGGAGCAGTAGGGGGACCATCGTTGCTTTCCCTTTTTTGCCTAAATGAATTCAAATGCTTTCAACCCAGAATCAGCAAAGTGCTTAATAACACAGATAGATTCTGCTGACCTCCTCCCTTGAGAATGTAATGTACTTTTGTTCATGGGTAGGCAGAAATGTCTAGTCTATGAATTTCTCTGAGTGGCACTGAAGTGACATTGTGGCTGGCAAAATGCCTTTGCTTCAAGGTCCCAACAACTGAATTTCTCCCAGAGGTGGGGGTAGGGGTGGGGGGAGTGGAGGTGTCGAGCCTCTGCTATGATGAGTTTTAACCTTGGGACAGCATTCTCTGTGTAGGCAGCTTCTTTAGGAGATATACGTACAGTAGTCATCAGCTTTGGGTATGGTTGTCGAATTTTGTTTCACACCCACAATATTTATTATTTCAAGTTAAAAGTCGGGACAAAGAACCTTTTTTTGAAACATAATAAACAGAGAAAAGTACAAAAATGCTACATGTATGTCTTGGTGACTTTTCACAAAGTAGATCCAGCACCCAGATCAAAATGACACTCCAGGAGCCCCCCACCACGTACTGCTTTTCTAGTCCCACCCACCAAGGAGACGTGCTGCCCTGACTTCTAACACTAGGTTAGTTTTGGGTTTTGAGCTTTATATGAATTCAATCACAGTACGAAGTTTTGAGTTTATGGCTCTCTTGACTCAATTTTGTTTGTAAGAGTTATTCATGTTGCTTGTACTTTACTCTCGTTTTATAGTATTTTATGAACATATCATAATTTTTTACCCATTCCACTGTTGATGGACAGTTGGGTTGTTCCCCATCTGGGCTACAGTGAATAGTGCTGCTTTGCATATTCTTTTATATGTCTTTTGATGAACATATGCACATTTGGGAGAAGAGATATGTTTATATTAGTTGTTGATTGTTGCATACCAAATTTCAAAACCTAGTAAGTAGCTCACAACAAAAATAAACATTTAGTACCTCTCACAGTTTAATGAGTGAGGGATTTGGGAGCAGATTGGAAAGGCAGCTCTGGAACAAGGTCTCTCAGGAGCTTTCAGTCATCTGAAGGCCGGACTAGGTCCGGGAGATCTGATTTCAAGGTAGCTCACTCACATGAGTGGAAAGTTGGTGCTGATGGTTGGTGAGTTGGTGAGCTGTTCAGTTTCTTTGCAAGTCGACCCTCCTTAAGACTGAGTGTCTTCATGACATGATGGCTGGCTTCTCCCAGAGTGAGAGTCAAAGAGAAAGAGCCAATTGGAAACTATAGTTTTTTGGTTTTTTGGTTTTTTATGATTTAGCCTTGGAAGTCACATAGCATCACTCCTGCCTTGTTCTATTCATTATAAGTGAGCCACTAAATTCAGCCCATACTCAAGATTCCTTCTTTAGAAGGAAGAAGAAGGTAAAGAATATATGGATGTATTTTAAAACCAGTAACCCCACAATATTTTAAAGGTTGGGATTGACCCAAGCTAGAGATCTAAAATAAGTTTATGGAAATTCACACAAGGATCTAAAAGAAATATATTCATCCCAGCCTCTCCTATTCATTTACAACTCTGTGAATGTTTGTAGGACAGTTTTCAAGGTATTTACTGGAGACGGCATGGTACTAGAGAAAGTACAAAGGCTTTGGAGCCACACACACCCAAGTTTGAATCCGGGATTCACTACTTACTAATTATGGATATTTGGACAAGTCAGCCCCTTGAATTCTAATATTCCCTCGACTGTAAAGTGAGGGATATCAGTAGAGCCTATCTCATGTTGTTCTGAAGATAATTAAATGACATAATATGTATAAGGTGCCCACTAGGATGGTAGGCCCCTTCCATTTGCTAATTTGTCAGGACATTATTAACTGTATACATTAACTATGTACAAGGTGCTATGTGCTGTGAGAGACACAAAACTGGACTTAGACATAGACCTTGGCTTCAAGAGTTGTATATTCTGCCTTGATAGGCAGAACTGTAATACAGTTGAGGAAATGATAGTGTCTGGAGCAGGTATGGATACAATCCTTTAAATATGGATCAAATTTGGATATATAGAAGTGGAATAAATTTTGAAGGGCAAGGAAAGGACAGAAAGTATTCCAAATTAGGAGTAACAGCTTGAGTAAAGACAAAGCTAGAAAACAGGGGGGGGGGGGGGTTCTGAATTGAGGATAACGAAGGAGTTCACTACAGATAAGGCTTCAGCATAGCGTAGATAAAAGGAGGTTGGGAAATAGGAACTGGGAAGGTAGTTACACATCAGTGTAGCAGGAAGAGATTAAGAGTATACACTCAGTTTTACAGCCTGACAAAAAACATCAAGGCCAAAGATTTCAAATCAGTTTTCAGGGCTGGTGATAGAAGTTTGAGGGTGGGGGGCGGCTAGCTTCCGAAAGACCTACTTGTGATGCTTTTCTTGGCTAACCATTATTTGTAGACCCTTTGTGCCTCACATTATAAACAGAACTTTCTAAAACTGATCATTAAAGAATGCTTCTGACTCAGAGCCCAAGCAACTGAGCTTTTTCCTTATCATTCCCATTTTGGAGGCTGCATCAACAGGGAAATGCAGCGGGATTGTTTTTATAGGCCCTTAGCTCACTATAAATGTACTTCTCAAGACTTGGCCATTTGGAATGGCCATTTTATGCACTCAACTCATCTGTGTATATTTGACTTCCACTTCCAGATAACGAGCAGTTCTCTCCACTTATTTCCCCTCAGGAAGATGGATCTATTTAGCAACCTTCACTTTTGTTACATTCTCCAGTCCCAGGCAGTGACGATATTTATACATAAGACAGAGATGTTTCTATACTGTGATGGAAGTTTAAAGGAAGTTGGAGCCAACAACCTTTCATTTTGAAGCCAAAGAAAAATGAGCACAAATTGTTCAGTCCTGCTAAGAATGGGGACTACAGAGATTAGCAGAAAGACTTCTTCTAGTCTATTCAATACATGGTGCCTGAGGCCTTTATGTATTCAGCCTATGTCTTATCTAGCACACCCCCTAATTTCAATGAAGTTTATAGGTTCCATCAAAATAAACATGACTGTGACCATTTTTGATGATTTTGTGGGCAAAAATTAGATGTTCCATTTTATCACCTTCTTTGCTTTATTCTAAATGAATTCTAGAGTATGGGAACGGATGGGTTCTAGGCTTGGGCTAGAATTCCTAACCGATCTTGTGGCTGGAACTTCCCACATTAAGGTTTGGTATTTTTATTCTATTAGCAACACTTGGCATCATGGGAAATGTTCTCTGCACAGGTGCTCAGGGTGTCCTCATCCTCTCTGATTTCTTCCCAGGTGGGAAATTGGCAAGTGGAGTCCATGCAGTCTCACCTGTGGGGTTGGCCTGCAAACCAGAGACGTCTTCTGCTCCCACCTCCTGTCCAGAGAGATGAATGAAACAGTAATCCTGGCTGATGAGCTGTGTCGCCAGCCCAAGCCCAGCACTGTGCAAGCTTGTAACCGCTTCAACTGCCCCCCAGCCTGGTACCCTGCGCAATGGCAGCCGGTGAGTTCTGGGGTTTCTCAATATTGGAGTGCGTTTTTGCATCAGTGATTCAGGACAGGGGACTCCGTCTCCGAGTAGCTTTGTCCCTTTAAAGGAATGTTGAAGGCTTATCCCTCCCTTCTTAGTATTCCCCCAACCTATTCAAATCCAGATCTTTTAATTACATACCATGTTTTCTGCTGTACCACAGAGATTAACCTCCAAAAGCAACTCAAATGAACCATCTCGAAACCTGAACTATTTCACAACAAAGTTTTCACCAGGCTAAGGAAAAATTCTAAAAATAAAGACAACATGATGGATTTTCCTTACAGCTAAATTTGTTCTGAATTTATACCCTTTCTAGCTTCTTTGCTAATTAAAATTCTAAGAGATAAAGGTACTAGGAAATCATTTTTCTTTCTTTTTAAGAATATGTAATTACTTAGCAAAAAAATAGAAATCTTGAGTCAATTCCAGGCGTTTTTTATTTTTCTGGTCCTATGAGTTCCAAAGGTCTGGAAACTAGTGTTTTAAAGCAGGGGTTAGCAACTGCAGCCCAAAGCCAAATCCAGCTCACAGCCAGTTATTGTAAATAAAGTTTTATTGGAACACAGCAACACCCATTCTTTTATATATATTATCTATGGCTGCTCTTACCCTACAAGGACAGGACTACGTGGTTGTGACAGATATTATATGGCCCACAAAATCTACAGTATTTACTCTGTCTTTATACAGAAAAACTTTGCCGACCCCACTCTAAAGCCTACATTATAATAATACAAACACAACTATTTTATCAAACTATCCTATCTAAAATTATATTTATCATACTTGAATTAAGTAATCTTTTTGGATGCCTTTTAATGCAGGAGGATTTTAGATTATTTGGATAGGATCTTATTTTGCAATTTCCTCCCCATTAGGATATCAGATGCAGCTTAACGTGACATCAAAGGTCACAGAAAGTAAGCCTGAAAAGTGAGGGGACATACAGCCCAATTTTACTGAAATCATTTTTCACTCTCAAAAGTGTCCCAATTAAAATGCTAAATTATATATGGTAATCAACTGAGAAGGAGAGAGGATAGCAGTTTACATACCCTTCCTTACCTTAGTGCTGAGAGAAGAGGCTGCCATTTCCACACACCCTCCATGCTTTTTCACAATCAGTTGGCAGACCCCCTGCCTGCTCCCAGCCATCTTGGGGCTGTGATTTAGTAAAGCGCTCAAAGAATCAAATAGTAATGAGTGAGCAAAACTCAGGTCTCCTGATTTCTAATGCATTTATACTTTTACCTTTAACTAGAGTAAATCCATGACCTTAAACTGCACCCTAATCTATGCCAACCCTAAGACAAGACCAGGAATCAGCCCAAATCAACCTCTACTGAAAAGTTTTAGATCCCTATATTATTAGTTTGTGTTACCATTAAGCACATAGGAAGTTCTGGATAGAACATTCACTGAATGACAAAATACATAAATAGATAAAAAATACTGCCCTCCAAGCCCTGAAATTCTGACTTTATATCTTGCTGATATGTTTGCTGTATCATTATAGGTCATAATATTGACCTAGCCATGAAGTGAAACACCAGCCTCTTTTCAATAGCCACACAAGCTGCTGAATAGTGGCAGTGACTTACGATGCTTCTTCAGTTTTTAGAGCACATCCATATACGTGATTTTTGGGGGTCTATTGCCAACACTACCACCCCATGCCCAGTCTCCCTATTTAAAACAGTGGATTTCCAAAGAGTTAATTATTCTTCCATTTTCTATCTACCTTGGGCCTGTTAAGTGAATTTATTTTGAAAACTTTCACTATTTCCTGCTATTAGGGAGAAGCCTTTGGGATATGTCAGATGCAGGTATAACTTGTTTTATTGTGCTTCACAGATGTTGTGTTTTTTACAAATCGAAGACCTTCCCCCAGCAAAAAAATAAAATTACAACTTGATTTGTTGTGGTGGTCTGCAACTGAACCTGCAATATCTCCAAGATATGCCTATATAAGTACATTTTTCAGATCAGGAAACTAACAGTAAACAGCTCTTTGAAGTTCATCCCATGAGCCACTGACTGTACTTTATTGGGACCTTTGAAAAATATCTTGAGTATTTCATACTCAATATATAATAACTGCAAAAAATATTAAAACATAGCAAGAAATAGAGAACACAGAAAGTGGAAGCCACCAATGAAAACAAACCCCTGTTAAATATTTGGTGCATAGGGTCTGTTTTAAGAATTCTCGGGGATTTCTTGGAATCTCTCTGAACCTAGAGGAAACAACAGACTTTTTTTTTTTTTACATCATTTCCTAGAATCTTACTTTTTTGGTTGTTTTGTTAGGCAAAATGAGCTATTACTGTCCACCTATTAAAAGAAAGGAAGTTATTGTTTATGCTATATGGAATAAGTCAAGAGTAACTTAAGTGTCTGCATGCTAATTGACTGTTGCCTTAGGAAACTACTTAGTTAAGACACCAGCTATTGAGCATCTATCATATTTGACTGGTTAGCGCTCTGCTTCTTGGCAATGCTGTTGGGACAAGGAAAGTTGCTGTGCACTCACAGGATCTTTTCCATTTAGCTACTTGGATCTAGCAGAGGATAGGGCTGAGATCTCTAATCCTTCAACACCTAGTTTACAGTCTTTGCATATGAAAGAAAAGGAGCTGGTGGATCAAATTTAAAGACAGATAACAGCAGGACGGATATGGACTTTGGCCCATTTGAAGGGAGACACTCCCCCTCCTTTCTGCTTGAACACTGGGCTATGCTGACCTCATGCAGTATGCTTTTCTTTCAGGGCAGAAAAAACCTAATTTAGGTTAATCATCATTTGCCTACTAAGAATGCAACCTTCTTTGTCCCTTATAGAGCATTTGCCGGACAAATGGCAAACAGCCAATATTTATACATTCTGCAGGTCTGGACAGGACTAGCATGGAATCTAAGTATTTATGTTACAATTTTATTTTAGAAACAATTAGGAAGATATGAAGCAGAAAGCTAATTCTAGCTTTGGTTTTTAGGGAACTTTCTCTATTTCAGTTCTACCTCTTACTCAATACTGTATCCCTTGATTTTACTTCTGGTCTTGTTGAAAGATCCATTTAATATTTATCTTTATCAGTTTAGCTTTACTATTTTGTTAGGTTTTGTTTAGTTGGCTTTGGAAACACTTATATATTTAGTGTATTTGCCTTCTGAATCTTCTCTAACTTATTAAATATACACACATATTCATCAACAACTTTGATGCTGGCTGTATATTACATATTATATACCCACACAAGGGACCATATCACAGTGGTGTGTTACAGCACCATGCTTGAGAACCACTTTAAAGATATGCCATAAGTCCAGCTAAGACACCTTGACCATGACAGCCTTCTTCTAGGACTCTTCAGCGACTCTCCATTGTCATATAATAAAGCCCAATGACTTCATTAGGTCTTCATTCCCCTGCAAACGGCCCCCGCCCATCTCCAGCTACGGTTCTCCCATCCCTGCTGGCACACTGCAATCTGCCCATGCTTCTCCCTGCCCACACACAGTTCCCCAGGAGTCATATCTCTTCCATCATGACTCCTATACCATCCTCCCACACTAAAGTCACTTGGTGTTCATGGTCAGTGCTGCTCATTTAACAGTCATATACCACCTTACTTGTATGGGCGCTTTGCTATGACTTCTGAGTTAGACCATCAGATCAGTGAGAGCAGAGGCCATGTCTCAGTAAGACCCCATAACACCCAGTGTAAAGCATAGAGTATGGTGCTGAAAAGGTACATGACAAGCCTGCGGGTTCATTTATGGAGCACTTGTTACCTTTCAGGAGCTTCTTCTCTTTAATAAAAGCAGCACCTACTGTGTGTTGCAACAGTTCTAGGCACTTTCCATGTTTAATTTGTTTAATTCTCACTGTGCTTAGTGTGATAGGTACTACTATTATTCCCATTTTACAGACGAGGAACCTGAGGCACTGTGAGGTTCACAGGAATTCAAACTTCATGTGGTAGAACTCATTCTATCAGCTCTTCATTTTCTCTGTTAATCCCCACAGCAGCTCTGTGAGGAAACAACAGAGAGGTTGTGCTTGCCGAGGTTGTGCTTGCCCTGGGTCAGGAAGCTGATAAATGAAAAGGCGGGGAGCGGGGCTGTATGCTTCAATGCCCATTCTCTTTTCCATTGTCGGGTGCAGCTTTCCCAAGACCTCTCTACCATTTGCTTTAAAGCATTAAATTGGGAGGAAATCCAATACCGGCCCCCAAAATCAGCAGTTTACATAAAACTCAGTATTGTTTGCTTACATATAACCAGGGCAGTTAATCTGTATATCAGTTTCCTATTGTTGCTGTAACAAACTACCACACATATAGTGGCGTAAAACAACACAGATTTACCATCTTATAGCTCTGGAGGTCAGAAATCTGAAACCCGTTTCACTCTGCTAAAATCAGGATGTTAGTAGGCCTGCAATTCGTTCCTTCTGAAGATGCTAGGGAAGAATCTGTTACCTTGCCTCTTCCAGCTTCTGGAGACTGCTTGTTTCCCTGGCTCATGGCTCCTTCAAAGTGCTTCATCCAACCTCTGATTCTGTCCGATAGCCTCGCTCTGACTCTAATCCACCACCTCCCTCTTATGAGCACCACTGTGACGACATCAAGCCCACTGGTAGTCTCCCCATCTCAAGATCCTTAACTTAATCACATCTGCAAAGTCCCTTTCACCGTGTAAGGCAACATATTCACAAGTTTCAAAGATTAGGACCTAGATGTCTTTGGGCTCACTATTCGGCCTACTACAATCTGCTGTGTTGTGGGCTGACTAAACATTACTGTCTACTAGCCCAAGGTCCTTGAGATTCAAAATCTGCCTTCTACTACCACTCTCCTCACCATTATCTATGAGCTTTGTATGCATCCATCTTCTTCCTATATTCATTTTCATTCTAAAAAAAAAAAAAGAAGAATGTAAGCAATGAGAAAAAAGAGAAAGGTGCT